ATACAATTTACATATATTAACTCATTTCTCTAATTTCTCATTACAACCCTAGGAGATTTAGACTTGGTGAAATTGAGGGAGAGAGAAGAAATGCACCGCGATCGAGGTCCTAGAGCTAGAGTGGGGGAGCTGGGATTCAAACCCAAGCATCCTTTCTTCATACATCAAAGAGGTAAGTGTGCGTTTAAATGCCTGATTTACCCGTGTGAGTTGTAAAAGAAAAAATCACTTATCTTTTCTGATTATGATAATGTCAGCATTTATAGAGGGCCTATTATATGCCAGGGACATTCATGCACACTTGCATTATTTCATTTCTTCCTCACAATAAACCCGTTAGATAGTATTCTTTATCCCCATTTTAAAGACAGAAAATTAAGGTCCAGAGATTAAAACGATTCACCCAAGGATTGAAATTGAGGTAGACTCCGCTACCAGCTTCTCAGTCTTTCCTGGCAGTAAAACGAGAGGACCAAGGACCTCAAAGTGATGCCATGAGAGTACAATGAAAGAATGGATGTGAAAAGGCCTCGGCGAACAAGTGCAAGGGATAAGGCCTACCCAGATGAATCACCGTTGAAAACTGGTTACCCAGGGTCCCTGCCCAATGGTTTTTGGTCCTAACCTTGCTTCTTTTCCCCCCAACCCACAGTTACGGCTTTGAATCTCTTTCTCTGTCTCCTCGGCTCCTGCCCCCAAACACTTGGCTGAGCGATGGACCGGAGAATAGAAGGTACGCGCGCGCGAGCAGGAGGCGGGGCCTGTTGCCCAGCTCCTCACTGGGGGCGGTGTCTGCACATGCGCTGTGGTTCTGCGGCTTCAGTTGTCCCTTCACTCCAGCCAATCAGAAGCCGCGGCGCGTTCGGGCGTCTAACGCCCTTTGAGTCGTTGCGTGCCGGGGGGAGCGACGTAAGGGCACTCTGCGAGCTGGTCTCCTCGAATGAAAGGAAACAACCTCCGGCGACAGAGCCCCGCTCTGAGGCGCTGCTGGAGAACCGAGACCGACTTCTTTCTCTTCCCCCTCATTGGCGCTTCTACCCCGCCGTTCGCCTCTGGGCCCCGCCGGTGAGTCCCCACAGCACCCCGGGGCCCCCCATTCTACGCCTGGCGGGAGAAGACAAGGAGGATGGCGGTAGCCAGGCCGCCGCCCCTGCCCGTTGTTAAGGGGGACTCTTGGTGGTCTCGCTTTATTGTCGGGGACCCCAGAAGCGCCGCTTATTGAAGGCGCTGGGCTCGGAGGCTGCCGAGAAAAGTAATTTAGAGAAGCTAAGGGAGAGGTGAGGCTTCAGCCTAGACTTCGGGCGAGGGAGCGCAACATTTCGGGAGGAAAAATACTGGGTATTTCTAGTCTTTGCCTTTTGCTTAGTACATATTTGGGAAGGAGGGAGACTCCCAGTTTGGGAAGAGTAAGAGGAAGAATTGTTAGGATGGCCAGAAGGTTAGCCTTAACAGAAAGAGGAAAAACTCCGGGGTGGGGGGGAATTAGGGGTGAAACAGATGTGAAAGCAAGACTTAGAGGGCGAACTCCTAGGGGAGGAGGGTTAAGGAAAGTGGTGGGATGATATTTTCCCGGATTCGGATGGATTGGAAAAGGACAGTTAGGGGACCCCGACTTGACGACAGAAAGGAACCTGCTCAAGTGCTTTAGAGGAAGATAGTTTTGCGAGTTTATCTAGCGCTAGATTCGAGGGAGATCTCGGAGTCTAGTGTGTATTGAATAAATAACGGAGAGGATCCGGTACGTTATGGGTATTATCCTTTATTATATGCACAAACAGCACGGCGTTCTTTTGAAATGTGGTCGTTTCGATATTCTGTGTGGAAGTTGAAAAATCCTTTAGTAATTGAAAAACCCTTCCTTTTCATCGGCTTATGGACTTAATATCAGGTCTTATTCATACAGATCACATTCTTTCTCTACCCTTGGGTTTGAAACAACTGGAAAATTCCTTCAGTTTCCTTTTGAATAACCGCAAGAAGCAGTGCGAAGCATGTAATATCGTGCAACCAAATTCAGGTGCCCTTCCGGTTCATTTCTTATTCGTTTATTTCTCTTCACTGTAACTTTCCTGGCATAAATGCTGCTTTTGTGGGGATCGCATTTATGTATTTTGATCTGTATATTTCAACAGGCTTGCATGTAGAATTGTTTGATCTTCTGGTACTGCAGTTTTTGTTTGTTTGTTTTTCTGTGAAAATGGTCTTTCCAGATACCAGTCATTGAATGTGCTCTCCAGTGAGCTCTTGAATGCTCTCCTTGATGTTTCAGTTTATTTCTACCTTGGTTTTTCACAGCATCTTGCAAAATCAGAAATGCATCGGTTGTTTCAGCTTAACTAATCGTGCTTTTATGTTTTTTAGACATTTAAATTGTTTTTCACCGCTATTATCATTGCTTCTTTATTTCTGCTTTGTAACATTGCCTATAATGTTATGTTTCTTTAATGGAAAAGATTTCATTGTTGGGTGAAGGCATCAAACTTTGATCTTTGCATGCCCTGAAAAACATTTTAAACTAAAATTAAAATGCCATATAGCCGTGTGGATTATTATGAACCCCTTAATATTGGTCCTTGGAATGCCCTTATTCTCCTTAACTGGAAGACCACAAATGTGACAGCGTTAGGTAAAAATCTGCATTTTTATGATAAAGATATTTTTTTGCTAGGACTCATTGTTTCCATGATGATCTCCACTTCATGTTTTATAAGGAGGCTGAAAAAAATTAGCAAGATGTGCACAGATGCATTATTTGAATTTTAGTGGAAAAATCCATTCAGTCATTGTACATTGGGGAAAGTTTTTATTGGTTTTGTGACTTTTGTGTGTTTCTGTTCATTTTACAAGTTATATTTATACCGATTACAGAAAAAATACACTAAAATATCTTTGAATGCAAAATAAAATGTACTACATATCTTCTCTTGGATTTGGGGGTCTTTGATAGCCAGAAAAGCAGATTCTCAAAATTAGGATGAGAAATTTACCTGTTTATAAATTGAAAGAGGCAGAATTCAATATGGATAAAATTTTGAGGGTACCATTTTCAGAATTAATTTCAAGAATAAAAAGTGATTTTCTACGTTAGGAATTTTCTTTATCTTAAGCCGATTTTATATTCTATGCTAGCTAGCTTTGTATAGAAATTACACATTAATGATGCCTGTACAAATTAGATTCACAATGTGCCATCCTTTCAAATGGCCAAGGATGAGCGGGAGAAACGCTGAATATATTACAGTGGTTTCATAGTGCCTGTTATTGCATAGTAAGAAAAAAACTATTTTAGAACAGAAATAGCAAATTTTGATGCTATTTATTAATTTGGTGTTTTGCATAGTTAATTCTAAAGATTTTGGCAGCTATATTCTTGATAAAGCAACTGAACACATATTTGCCTGATCAAATGCAAACACACTTCCCCTTTTGTTTCTTTTGTTTCTTTGTTATGTTCTTTTCCCCCCTTTAATCTTAAAAGTATTTGCTGCCTATTTTCAAACAGTTTCACAGTTTATAACCAGTGCTGTGAATACAGTACCATTCTATGCCATTTGGAAGACCAAGGTATTTAAAATTGGCATTAAAAGTTTGTTAAACTCATCAACACAGAGACCTTCAGGGCCTTTGAAGTTTTGTTAAAAAGAAAAATCTAGATATAAATTGATAAGAACTCTTTCTTTGTGGCTTCACTTGAAATTTTGACCAAGTATCTGCATTTTTATATTGTCAAGTGCTAAATGGTTTGTAGCTACTACCTTGCTGACATCCAGTGTTACTGTTCTTGGTAAATAAGTGCATCTCAGAAAGCTACAATGTTGTGTTAATGAGTCTATTTTTCAACATAGTACGATATTATGAAAATATTAAGATATGTCAAAAATTGAAAAATATAGTAAATTTTAAGACCAAAATTTGAGATTTTATTCCTTGTGATTTATTTTGTGGCAACCTGGTTCCTGAACTGCTTAGTTCTGCTGATTTGGAAAAACTACACAAATCAAGTAACTGATTTTACATTTAATACTTCTGAAGAATATGTGTTGAGCTTGATTATCTAAATCTGAAACTTATATGTTAGAGCTTTTCTTCCCTTTTTTGTTTGACTATCCTACCTATAATTATAGTTTGACTGAGTTTAAGACTCATTCAGAAATATTTTCCTAACTATACAATATTACTAAGTAAATGTGAAATTTATGGTATTTAGAATGCTACTTTTAGTTTGTAACTTTAATAAGCAGGCTTTTGGAGTAAATCTGAGTTAGATAATACAATTATTTTTATAAATAACTAATTCCTAAAGTTTATATTTTTGAATATACTGCTATAAGCCTATTTTTTTCTTTACTTAAAAATGGAATACAATAGCAAAAATTAACTTATTACAGACACATACATGATTTTTTAACTTGAATATAATTCAAGTTAAAATAAGTGTTCCAAAATTATCATTAATTACATTTATTTCTTTTTTTGTTTACCAATATGTAAACTTTAAGGAATTATACAGTTATAGAATTCTGTTCATCCTGGGCATTGTGTAGTTGTAGTTTTTGCTCTTCTCTTAGATATATAATTTTTTGTTTCCTTGAAGGAGCACCTGCCTATACATGAAAAATATGTTGCATTAATTATGTCAGCAGATGATGAATTTAATATCACACATTGTACATTTTTTTACTTATCCATGCAGAAATAGTTCTAATTCACATATCCCCTAATTTGGGAGCAGTTTGATTTTTTTGAATTACTTCATTAGGCTATACATAATTACATATTTGTTCATTATGGAGGCATCTTAAGTTTTAATAGTGATTTGTCTAAAATCACTAAAAAGCCATTTAAAAAGCATATATTAGAACTTAATTAAGACATTAAACAACTTACCTGACTATGTGTACACTGATTTTAAATGAAATTAACCATTTTGTTGCCCTTCTTATTCTCTGTAGCATTTCTTGGGGCTTATAAAGTGACATTCTAAAGGCAACTTAAAAATCATGTCAAGCTCAGTTGAACAGAAAAAGGGGCCTACAAGACAGCGCAAATGTGGCTTTTGTAAGTCAAATAGAGACAAGGAATGTGGACAGTTACTAATATCTGAAAACCAGAAGGTGGCAGCACACCATAAGTGCATGGTAAGTATACCAGCAGCAACTGAGAGACTTGAAACCTGAATTCTAAAAAAGAAAGAAGAAAAACTCAGTTAAATTTTTAAGAATATTTCCTTTTCAGTTTAACATCTTATTCAGTGTTTCACTGTAATTTCTTTATGTATGAACCTAAATTTTTTTTAATGTAATTTATAGCTCTTTTCATCTGCTTTGGTATCATCGCACTCTGATAATGAGAGTCTTGGTGGATTTTCTATTGAAGATATCCAAAAGGAAATTAAAAGAGGCACAAAGCTGGTAAGTTGGTATTTCTGCCTCTTGAGAATAAAATTTATTTTAAGCTCATTAGGAAAGAAATTCCTTATTTTAAAGTGCATTACCTTATTAACAGAATATAATTTTAAGTTGCAGTCTTTTTTTCTCCCTAAACCAGAAAATTTCAAGACTGAGTTTAACTTACTTACCAATTAACAAAAAAAGGGAGTGGATCACTTGAAATTATATAATGTTATTAAACACTGTCACCCAATAAATTTAATTAAAAATAGCAAATGTAAAAAAAGGAGTGAATCAATATTCATTTTTTAATGTATTTTTGTTGATTTCAGAGAAGGGAGAGAGAAAGAAACATCAATGATGAGTGAGGATCATTGATCAGCTGCCTCCTGCATGCCTCCTACTGGGGATCGAGCCTGAAACCTGGGCATGTGCCCTTGACCAGAATCAAACCTGGGACCTTTCAGCCCACGTACAGGCATTCTATCCACTGAGCAAAACAGGCTTGGGCTCATTTTTTCTTTTAAAAATAATTAAAATCTTCTTGGAGACCGTATTGACTTAGAAAACAAGCAGTTTGCTTAATTTGAATGTATTGTGTGTTAAAGTTTTCATTTGAGTGTATTTTCACAATTAAATTTTTATGTGTTTTCACCTTTCATAAAGTAATTATCATTACAGCCGAAGCCGGATTGGCTCAGTGGTAGAGCGTCGGTCTGCGGACTGAAAGGTCCCGGGTTCGATTCCGGTCAGGGGCATGTACGATGGCTGCGGGCACATCCCCAGTAGGGGGTGTGCAAGAGGCAGCTGGTCGATGTTTCTCTCTCATCGACGTTTCTAGCTCTCTCTCTCTCTCCCTTACTCTCTGTAAAATATCAATAAAATATATTTTTAAAAAAAGTAATTATCATTACAAATGAAGATGATAGTATTCTTTTAACAGAAAAATGTTAGCAGTTTCTGAACAAAGTATTGAACTGTGATTCAGGTATATAACCCAATACTTATGACTCTGGATCACTTTTGGTGAGTTTTACAGTTTTTCTGAAGCTATGATAGAATAATATTCCTATAACTCTTCACTACCAGTAACCAGATTGGCAAGACACTGTATTATTCTATTGGAAAAGTAGTGTCATTTCAGTTGATACATTTATGATACATTATAGTTTACATTAAAATAGTTTCTTTTCATTTGATTTTTTTTCTCATGTGAGCTCCTTCTTGAAATTGCATCTGTAAATGTACCTCTAGTAGCTTCACTATGAAGTGTTTCATTATTTTAAAGACTAGAGACCCCGTGCATGTGCACTAGAACTGGCGGTGGGGGGGTGGTGTCCCTCAACTCCGTCTGCCCCTTCTCACAGTTTGAGAGCCCTCAGGGACAGGAGGCAACCCAGCTATCAGGGGAAGGCAATGCCTCCATCACACCTCTGCTGCTGCCACTGCCAGCAGCGCAAGCCTTGGCCAGCCCTGGTTACCTGAGCCTCGGGTGGCCCTGGGCAGCTGGGCAGCCAACATCGAGGCTTGCCTGCACCTCTGGCCAGCCCTGGGCAGCTAGAAGGCTGAGGGGACTGGGGGACTCTGGAGGTAACCTCATGCCTGCTGCCCTGGTGGGGCTGAGGGGACTGGGTGCTGCCATCTTGTGACTGTGGGCACCACCATCTTTGAGGATGGGGCAGTCAAATTAGCATATTCCCTCCTTATTGGCTGTGGGTGCTGCCATATTTTAGGGCAGGGAAGACAATTAGGATATTTACTCCTTATTGGCTGTGGGCACTGCCATCTTTGCAATGGTGTGAGGGTAAATTAGCATATTCCCTCTTTATTAGATAGGATGGGTTTGACAGAACATCTATCTGTGCTCTTAGGAACTAAGTAATCTCATTTCGCAAAGAATCTGATGGGAGTCGAAACCAGTTTGGCTTAGCGGATAGAGCGTCAGTCTGCGGACTGAAGGGTCCCAGATTTGATTCCAGTCAAGGGAATGTACGTTGGTTGTGGGCACATCCCCAGTAGGGGGTGTGCAAGAGGCAGCTGGTTGATGTTTCTCTCTCTTATTAATGTTTCTAGCTCTCTGTCCCTCTCTCTTCCTCTCTGTAAAAAAAAATCAATAAAATATATTTAAAAAAAAAAGAATCTGATGGGAAGTAGAGGCTATCATTTTGATGATCAGCAATAATTTGTTTTGAAAAGTAGTCAATCTTGTAGTATTAGGAAATACAATATGAAGAAGTTCAGGACAACATTTGAGATTTGCTTTAAGATAGTCTCAAACCCTAGAATCAGTACTGGCATAGATGGAAATTTAGAAGTTTGTTTTTCTTGTAATGAGATCTTAACTGAAAATGTTTATCTTCCTCATCCCCAAAACTGTAGATACCAATAGAATGCTCCATTTTAATGCGATTTTTATTTTTTTAAATGTGGCTTTAGATTTCATGTTACTGTGGCTTACTGACTTGAGAACCAGAATAGCATGTTTTTATTTCCTCGTCCTCAAAATCAAATTCAGATACAAAGAAAGAATACTATTTACTTGATCATAGGTATACTGTAAGCCTTATCAGCCCATTATTTATTCCTTGGCACTACGAAATGCCTGGAAAATGCTTCCACATACTGACTTGTTATAATTTTTTTGTCACATGACATGCTATGCTCTAGTTAGAGTAGGAGCAGTTTTGGTCCCTACTGTTACAATATTTTTTAAAAAATATATTTTTTATTGATTTTTTACAGAGAGGAAGGGAGAGGGACAGAGAGCTAGAAACGTCGATGAGAGAGAAACGTCGACCAGCTGCCTCCTGCACACCCCCTACCAGGGATGTGCCCACAACAAAGGTACATGCCTTTGACCGGAATCGAACCCAGGACCTTCCAGTCCACAGGCCGACACTCTATCCACTAAGCCAAACCGGTTTTGGCTACTGTTACAATATTAACAAACTAGAAGCCCGGTGCATGAATTTGTGCATATGTGGGGGCCCTCAGCCTGGCTGGCGATCAGGGTTGGCCAGCCAGATGGAGAGACCACAGGAGGTTGGCCGGCCACGGGAAGTTGGCTGTGGGAGCACACTGACCACCAGGGGGCAGCTCCCATGTTGAGCTTCTACCTCCTGGTGATCAGTGCATGTCATAGCTACCAGCTGGTCATCTGTTCATAACAGTCACTTAGGTTTTTATATATATAGATGCAATGCCTAGTTTTACAAGAAGCAACAGCATACATATGGCAGTATTGGTAAATTCAATGGAGATTTAATCTATTTGGACTGTGTGTAAGGAAAGCATCAGAACTTTATACAGGTTTCACTATTATAAGTTGTTTTGATTAATTTTTTAATATTTTATTGATTTTTTTATAGAGAGGAAGGGAGGGGGAAAGAGACTTAAAAACATCGATGAAAGATAAATATCGATCAGTTACCTCCTGCACACCTCCTACTGGGGATGTGCCTGCAGCCAAGGTACATGCCCTTGACTGGAATAGAACCTAGGACCCTTCAGTCCACAGGCCAACGCTCTATCTACTGAGCTAAACTAGTTAGGGCTTGATTAATTTTTAATGGTATAGTGCAATGGTTGGCAAACTCATTAGTCAACAGAGCCAAATATCAACAGTACAATTGAAATTTCTTTTGAGAGCCAAATTTTTTAAACTTAAACTTTTTCTAACGCCACTTCTTCAAAATAGACTTTCCCAGGCCTTGGTATTTTGTGGAAGAGCCACACTGAAGGGGATAAAGAGCTGCATGTGGCTCACGAGTATAGTGTATGGAGTTGATTCCCCCTTCCTCAAGTGTAGTGAGTTACACATAACATGTTCCTTGGTCTAGGGAGTGGAACAATATTGGAGATAAAGACTATAAACTATAGTAAAAGTTTTGGATTTGAATCTCAGCTTTGTCACTTATTATCTGATTGACCCTGGGCAAATTATTTACTTCTCTACACCATGTTTTCAGCACCTGCCAAAAGAAGATAACACAGTACTTGTACTTTTTTCACAGGGATAATGTGAGAATTAAGAGAGAGACTATATAGGACTAAGCATATGGTTAGGGCTTGATAAATAGTAGCCACTATTCTAGCTATTAGTTTTAAATAATAAGATCCTGCTAATATTATCATAGGCTAATGAAAAGCATGCTGGGTTGGGAAGTCATAGAGTCTAGTTTTTAAATAAATCTGCTGATACATTATGTAACTTCAGATAAGTCATTAAATTATTTGTCTTTTCACCCGTGGTAAACAGATAATACTGTATCACTGCTTACTAAACAGTGATGTTGCATAACAAAAAATGCTATTAAATATACAGTTACCTTTGCAAAGGTGTTTTTTTTTATAAATATATTTTATTGATTTTTCACAGAGAGGAAGGGAGAGGGATAGAGTTAGAAACATCGATGAGAGAGAAACATTGATCAGCTGCCCTTTGCACACCCCCTACTGGGGATGTGCCCACAACCAAGGTACATGCCCTTGACTGGAATTGAACCTGGGACCTTTCAGTCCGCAGGCCAGCGCTCTATCCACTGAGCCAAACCGGTTTTGGCAGCAAAGGTGTTTTGAAGCCATGTTGAGGCTGTGGGCATCTGGCATTGAAGAAAAATGGCAGAAGGCGGGAACTTTGGAGCCCGATTATGTAATTTTGCTCCTTTCCTTCCTTCCTCCCAAAATGTCAAAATTTAAATAACTTATGTAGGGGATAGGACTAGAGTAGCATTTATATGTTTAACATTGAATTTATTTTGAAATCTTTTAGCCTTTAGTTTTGCTCCTTCCATTATATCATTTTATATGAAGTATTATTGAGTAACCAAAACATCACATTTTAGGTTTTTTCTTTACTTTGTCCTTTGTAGATTTGTCTAAGTAATAAAAGGGCCATAAATCAAATAGGAAGGGAGAGAAAAGTGAAGAGCTTCATATAGGTAGATAAGCTACATATAAACTAGATAATCAGCATCCCTAATTGAGTTTTTAAAGCATTTTTTCCTGTGAGCATGTTTGTC